GGCGGGAGGGCCGTTGAGGCGTCCCAGGCACTCCGTCTAACGCGTGCGGGCTGCCTCGCCACCCCTCACCTTTGCTAAGAGACCAAACCTTTACCACGTTTCTTGGCAATTTCTGCCGAGACCGGATCCTGCTGAGAGGGTCTCAGGACATCTGTCTGATCAGGATGTGCCCAGCTCAAAACTTCAGAGCTCACACAACCCTAGGTGCAATTGCTAGCATCCAGGAAGTGGCCATTTACTTTCAGCAGCTGCATGTCCATCTTGATCCTGGTCTCTCTCATCCTTGTTTTTATTTAAAGACGACAGTGCCATACGAGCGTCACCACTAAAAGTGCACCTGAAATGCTAGACTTTAAAGGATGAGAAAGAGGAACTACTTGCTCTCGTGTGTTCTTACACAGACACCACCGTCATATCAAACGGGAAGCTTGTATCACTTGTAAATGTTTGCTTGCTGAGCGTGCGCAAGGGAAGTCCTGATGATTTCCACTCCGTAAGTGCAAAGGCAGTGGAATAGGTTGACTTTGATTTGATTGCATTGGGCTGTCAGGTGCTAACATGGTCGCTTTTGCAGATGTTGTGAAATAACACTCCCCGCTTGCCCTAGGAGGAGGAATACTGACTGGTGTATATTTCAGATGTTGGAGGACCCTGATGAATTAGCCGTGCTGGAGGAAATCCAACAAGAGCTGATCTTTCAAGGTAGCTTTTCAATGCATGTATTTCATTACTGACATGAATGCCCGGTGAATCGTAATTAGGGCCATGGCTTTAAACTATGTTTGTTTAAAGCTGGATTGTTTCCCTGGGTCTTGTAGATCACCTGATTGGAAACCTTGTCCTAACGACCATTCCAAAACCAGCAGAGTTCAGTCTGGATGGATAAGAGGCTGACGGAGAGCAAAGGCTTGGACTGTCAGCAAGACTTCTCACTCCCTTTCAAGGGTTGGAAGCTCTTTTTACTCTTCTCCCGTGAGAAGGGTAAAAGATGAGTACAGACTTGACCACATGACAGTCCCAGTTGCACACAGCAAGTGCTCTCTAGCTTTATATTGTAGTGTCTCAGATGAGAGCACACAGGACTGAAATCCAGACTTAGCCCAATAACACTAGTGAAGCACTCTCTGATCCTTGAATGGAAGGTGCTACAGACGCACAGGGTAGGTGCAGCTAAAGGCTTTCATTCGGTATCATGAATAAATACTTAAACAGTCAGAATCCCCTCGTGGTTTTGAGTTTGATCTAAAGAACAAGCTACAAATAACAACCAGCTCAGATCTCACCATGTGTGATGGCTCTTATTGCACTGCATGACAGTTTCCTTTTTTTCAGGATGTCTCTTGACTGCTGACAGCTGTGCTTTCTGTTACAGAACAATTAACCATAGAAGAATATGAACAGAGTTTGCAGTTTGATGAAAAATGTCTCAACGCAATGCTTGATGGCTTGGATGCAGGGAGCAAGGTTATCTGTCCCGTGTGTAAAAGGTGAGGTAGATCTGGGCACCAAAGTGATTTGCTTGAGGATGTGTTAAGTAGGTCCTTGTGAATTAGTGAACCTCCTGAATTCAGCCACTTACATGATGCTCTCAAAAGCCTGAGCATACTCTCTAACTGCAGCTGACAGCATTAACAGTTCAATTTGTGCTGTTTATAGAGATACATGGGTCAGCTACGAGTGAAGTGCAGCCATTTCTGCTGTGGAACTCGATAGACATTGAGCAACTATGCTGCCTGGTAGCTTAAACAACAGGCATCTTATCTCGGGTGTGACAGGCATATGCACCTCTTCCATGCCATTCGTTGAAATACTGTGGTGTGTGCCACAAGAGGTCAAGGGGAATTGCAGTGAGTTCACCTACTTGTCTCCTGCTAGAGATAGTTTGGCCCCTGTTGCATACAAATTGTGTCAGTTAAAAAGCAGACCTGTTTTTCTAAGGCTTTCAGTTGTTACAAGATTCCTTCTGAGAGCAGTGTTGTATGGTACTTAACTTTAGTTTTGCTGGAATTCCTTGTCTTCTTCCTCAACTTTTCTAGCTGTCTCTGTCCAGGCACTCACTTCTGTCCTGTTTCTAGGAATGACCTGACTGTGATGAGTCACTTGGTTTTATGCCAGTGTGGATTACACATCTGCACAAAGGTACGGCAAGATTCAGATGTTATGCAACTCCTGGGAGTTCATAGCATAGCCACCCCTGCCTAGACAGCTCCTGAGTGAGGCTGATGTAGTGCAGTCACACTTGCACACTCCTGCTCTTAGTTCTCTGCACACAAGCAATCTCAGTGATTTGTACTGTATGTGATGATGAGATGGGTACTCAGAGCTGTGGTTCTCAAGCTATGGCCTCTTTGGGGCCCATAAAATGGAGCAGCTGGAGAACCAAGCTGTACAGGACTGGGAACAGATACAGGCCTGTATGTTCCCTCTCTGCAATAAGCAAAAAGTAGAAATACAATGTAAATCTTTGAATCCCCAAATGAATCATGCAGTGTGCACCAAGAGAAAAATAAAAAATGCTGCTAGTTTGCCCAGTTGTAGCAAACCCGCTAAAGGTAACTGAACTATAAGCCATTCATCTTGTGCCTTCAAGAGAACTTGAAGAGTTATTTGTTTTAGGGTATGACAGAACAGAAGCTCCGATCACTTCTAGAAGACAGTTTAACAGAGCATGGCCATCGTTGTCTTCACAATCCTGAGTTTTCCATTACTAGCGGAATGGAGGAAGAAGCCAGCCTTCTCATGAGCTGTCTGGTGAGTCAAAATGACAGTCATGGCCCTGGGAAGCCCAAGTGGGAAAGATCATCTCATTTACACAGACCACACAAAACCCTGTAAATGATTGCATTTATAGACTTGTAAGGGAGAAAAGCAGCACAACTTCACTTTGGAAGTGTATAGGTTACAGGTCATGGGCTTTTCCTCAGCAAAGTGCTGGTCCTAGCAAAGTGCACAGAGAAATGTTTAAATCCAAACAAATGCTCTTTAACTGAAAGGCTCCAAAAGAAACTCCCCTAAATCCCAAGCAGAAATCCACATAATAGCTGTTCTTTAGAGGTGAGGTACTGTTCAAGTAGCAGGTGACACTTAGAAGCTACTAGCTAGCTCTGGTTTATCCTAACCTTTGGGCTTGCTGCTTGCAGCTATTGATTGCAGGTTGCATTGCATATTGGAGTGGCATTTGACTTCATTCTAATCGCTTCTGGGCAGCCTGTGAATCTAATAGACTTGCAATTCTTATCTCCCAAAGATCTGTGACTCCTGGACAGTCATCCTGTAATTGATTCGGCTGGTCTTCGTGGACCAATGTGCCAACAAGGCAAACCTTTCTGAGGACTTCTTCAGGTGGATGATGCCTCATACATATTTTTAATGCGTAGAATTGTGACTGATACTTGACAAAGCACTGTTTCTTGGCTTATGTTGCACTGCACTTTTGATAATAAAATAAATATTTTGAAATAAGATGGGATGTTTGTGTGGTGAGGTGCACATGTCAACAGACTTTTTCTTGAGAGTAGCTAGCCTTGGATAACACAACCACTGCTGGATTTTTTGATCACTTTACACTACAAGAGTAAAGGAGCACTGCACTCCTAGCAAGTTGCATCTTTTCCTTTCATGGCACTTGAAGCCCTGTAATGTGCCCTGCAAGTGACCTTTAGTCTTGTCGTCTTAGAACAGGGGTTTGGATACGGCTGACAACTTACAAACAAGTTGTTTTAATGGAACCAAATTGTGGTCTTAGTGATCATTATGCAACCTGAGTCAGTCCCCAAGGAAGGGTACAAAGTGGCCCATGGGTAGCACCAGTTGTTGGAAGACCTCGTTATAATAATTCCTAGTAACTACATTTCTGTGACAGCAGCTGCATGAGTAACTGCCATTGTGTAGCTTTTGCTCACTTCAGTTTTACGGCAAAAAAAATGCATAAAGGAACAGTGAGTGTTATGTAGTGTAATTGCTCTTTCTTGCTGCCTTTAGGCAAGCATGTTTAGGAACTGACTTCAGCTGCAACACAGGAGGCATTAGAAAGAATATAGGGCAGTGTCTACACAGTATCTAGTGTATTAAAGTTATAGGCAGGTACACTTCAATTTAATGATACAAAAGTGAACACTGAGAAGTGAGATCAATTTTCAAGATCACTTGAAGTAGCCTGTTTGAGAATATGCTTATCTGCTGGTTCTCAGCTGGCCTAGTCAGGGTATTTCAAACTAAAGATCAAATCTATGTCTTGAATCCTTCAATTATGACCCAGCGGTTTTCATTCTGCATTGAGTGAAACATGAGATATATACAGGTACTTCAGCCTCCAACCACTGGATAAAACAACAGGCAAAGGGTTTTTTTTGGCAGTTCTGATAACTATGTCTATGAAAACTCAAACAAGCCCAAGGGTGGACCAGAGGGTTTAAAGTACCACTCTGGGAGTTACTAGACCAGGCATAGTTGATATACTGTAAGTGCTTCAGTCCATTTTTAACATGGAGAAAAGTGAAGAGGCTAATGGAAATGATCAAAAGCTCAAGGCACGCTCATACCTGTTAGAGAACAAAACAGAGAAAGACAATAGTTTGGTCCCTGTGCAGAGGAGATTGGCTCATGGAGGGATTTGCTGGATGCAGGAGCAGATGGAACTGATTATATACACGGGCTCACTGTACTAAGATCTAGCAGCTCCTGTCAGGTGAGCAAAGACCCCTGCTAATGTAACTAGTCAGCTCTTCTTTCAGGCAGGTGCCTGTTCTGTCTTTGAGGCAAAAGTTGCTAATCTCTGCTGCAAGCAGGTGATTGGAAATTAGTAAACAGCAAATGAGTGCATAAATGCAAATCAGCACACTGAATCGTTAGGGACTTAGCAGCTGAATTGACTGAAGTAATGAAAATTAGTTCTGCCAGAATAAAATGCAGGCACTGGTAAGCTGCTGAGTAGCAAGAGGGAAATGATTGGTGCTACACAAGGAAGTGCAAGATTGGATCTATGCATCCTTAAAAGAAAGCATCAGATCATATTGGATTGATATTCCAAGTCAGCTCAGTTTGGTCCAGCTTCATTTCCTTTCAGCAATTCATTCAAATAAATCCAATTAGCATCACATTAATAAAAGCTATCCCAGGACACTTCAGTGGGTTTTACAGAGTTAGCAGAAACAGGAAGGGTACCTCCTCCCTGCAGGAATTTGCTAACAGGTCATGACAGATGGCATTCTGTTCATAATAGATCAGCACTGCCTCCAGGTGGCAATGACTTTCAGACATTGGTATGCCTAGAGATGAAATGCTTCCTACCTTGTTTCCAATCCCCCTTTGAAACCATCTGTACTAGTTCAACATTAGTTAAGAACAGCTTAACTGACGAACATGCTGCCATGAAACAGAACACTTCAAAGCCGTTAAACTTTAAAGCCCAACTTTTTTCCTTGTCATCCACAAAAGGCCTAAGACCTCCCAGTGAGTTTCTCTACCAAAATCATGTCACTCAGACAATTCATGCTACTCCTTGACAAGTGAGAAAACAAGAAAAAGGATGCTATTCCACACTGACATGTTGAACAAGTTTTATTCTTTCTATCATCATATCTTTACTTTAAGTGTACAAAACAAGCAGTAGTGAGAGGTAATAAATCGGCAAGAATGATGCAAAACTGAACTTCGGCTCGCAACATAAATTACATCTGAAATAGTTATTGAAAAGAGAATCATCTTTTTCCATGATATATCTTTCATAGTTAAACCTTCCGAAGTTAAATTTACTGTTGGTATCTGATCTCAAGCTATTCAGCTTTTGCCAGTGAAAGCATACCCACATCTGAAGACTTTTGACTTCAGTTTTTTTAATCTACTGACACTTGACAAAACCTTTAAGGTCTTCAAGAAACTTAATATACTCCTGGTGTTCCAGTGCTGTACTGAGCTCAACTAACTCATCAGCAAATGTGTTGTCCACTCCACGATCAGCCAGGAAATCCATTAAATGGTCATACAGAGCCTGCAAGGAATTACAACAGGTACAATAATCCAATTTGTTCTATGACAAGAAAAAAAATGGCATGTCCACAGCCATGTTGTATTTCTCCAGATATGGGTGTCCCTTCCCCAAAGGAGAATAGAATCCCCCATCTTCTCTTCACCAATTGCCTTAACTAAGCCCAAGATTCAAAGTGGGTTAAAATGGGGACAAGACCACAAAGAGAAAGCTATAGTCTTTCATAGTCTGAAATGGCAACATTGCTGGGTGGGATCTGGTTGCAATTAGGGCCAGATCAAGTCAGGTGACTGCTCTGTATGAAGTGACCCTCTCCTCCAACCCCTCTTTAATGCTCAAGTTACCTTAGTACCATCTGGCTGGAAAGGAAGAGAGACTAGCCCAAAATGTAAGCACCTGCTCAGTTCTTTCCGAAGTCAGGCAGTCTAATTCCCGAGTGATTTTTTTTTTGTTTGTTTTTGAAGTGTTTCAGATGTGTGCAGTTTAAGGCACTAGCGGATACATTTCCCCCACTGAGCAGCAATTGCCAGCCATGAATGCAGATGGCCTTCCTTTGCCCAATTTGACCGTTTAACAACACAAACTATTAGCATTTCACTCTTTTGCCCCGTTTGTTTTCTGGTCTATTCCACCCTGACAGCCACAGTTCTTAAATCAGACCTCGATCCTAGAGTACTAGGGTGTCAAACAAACGGCCTATAGGCTGAATCTGGGTTGCAGAACCCTACCATCTGGGCCCCTACAGGTCCACAGAAGGCACAGCTTGTACCTAGGCTGCAAGGCCAGTCTGCAAGCTGGATCTGGCCCACAGACCCCCAACCCTTTTACCCCAACACACCTGATCTGATGGGTGCTCCAAGCTGGTCTAGGACCCATGCGGCATGCAGTGTCGATTGAGGAGTGGCCAGAATGTGTGCTGCACACAGCCCCTGCTCCAGCCAGTCTGGGACCCGCACATGTTGCACTCACAGGCACTGTGTGCAACATAGGTCCTGGACTGGCTGGAGCAGGTACTGTATGCGGTACAGGACCGGGGCAGCTGGACCAGCCACTGGATTAGGCAGGTATGCTGCAAGACTACAGACCTGTTCTCCAGTTTGGACTACAAACTGGGTCAATGGGACATAGTTTAAAGGCTGGGGAACTTTATTCATCATTTTATTCTTTGAGAGTCTCAATTAGTGAAAGATCTGATCTTGGACTTCTGCTTGTGATTCATCAAGATTATGCTAATATTTTTGCTTGATTCCTAAATTGTTCTCTGGGTCACAAAGAGTCTAGAGTAGTGCAGGGGTTTAGCAGAACCTACCCAGTCAAGAGAGTCTGTGTTGAGAGTGAAGTTGGTTTCCTTCCAATCTGATTTTTCACTGGGCTGAAAGCTGACCTCCTGAATTTCAAAAATGTCGCTATCCTCCTCTCCCTCATTTCCAGTCTAAGAAACAAAATGAGATCTAATGAAGCACAACTGTTCATACTGAAGAGTATCTTCAACCTCTGCATTCTGAATTCATGAACACAACCCAGCGGGCAAAAGCTGTAGGGCCGACATAAATCAACCCCCCTTTCTCCCTCCTCATACATGTGCTTTGTAAGGGCAGAAACAAGTTCACAGAGGACACAGGTACTGCCATATCAGTGCAGTCTGCCAGTCTATCAGAAAATGGAAAAAATTCTAATGGACAATCATGAAAAGGCCTGCCCAGTGGAGATATTTCTTCTCAACCTTTGTCAACCAGATGTTGGTCATACCTTAAAGCAAGAGGGTTTATATTCCTCCCAAGGTTTTGTTACAGTTTGAAAAAACAACAACCTAATGCAGCAGTGAGAACCCCACTGTTGCGTCTACTTCATTCTGAAATCCTACAGTGCCTTTGCTCTTAAGGGCAATGAGTTCTGCAAATTAATTATATGCATGAATTACATGTATAATAAATTATATCCTTTTATCAATTTTCAGTTACTTCTTTTTGGATTGTGCTCTGTGTATGCTGCTAACAATTGCTACTTGCTTCCTGCCTCCGAGCCTACTCAGGAAAAGCAGTTGCCATGATTCAGGAAGTGAGGTCAGGACACAGGTAGAAGTGTGAGCCATCCCTGCTTTGCAAATATGTAAAGTCATTTATTATACCGCACTGGGTGGCTGGATAGTGATTGGTACAGCCGTTGATCATTGGAATTGGTACCCTGAACATGACCATCTAACTAAACCAGAGAAAGCCATCACCCACAGTTAGCAAGGGCTCACACATCCCCCTTTTACAGTACCCACCTCATCTTCAGGGAAGTGGCAGTCAAACACAAGGGTATTCTTTGAGTCATCTTTTGTCACTTCTACAACAAAGTTGGGAGTTGATGTAAGGTCAGACTGTGGGAAGTAAGAGAAGATCACATCAGCACTGGAGCTCACTTAAAGCAGGCAGCTTATATTGCTACGGAACTAGTTATTTTTCAACGGAAAACAGACAGTCCATGAGCC